CAGAGTCATAAAAATTGTTTACATACATATAAGCCAGTAAAAAATGAGAACCCGTCAATATATATGGATGCACTACATTGAATTAAAAAGCTTTTTATTTAAAAGGTAAGTGATTGTTTTCTTATTTAATTGCAATAAATTTAAGCTTTGAAAAAATATCTGAAGAATGTCGAGTAATAAAAGCTATGAGATCAGTGATTTTGAACCCATACCTCATCTTTTTTTTTTGTAATACCTTTCTTATATGGCTGGTGCTACTGATATGTTATTATTGCTATGTAGTTACTGACAAGAATGGTAAATACTGGTCTAATAAATAGAATATTAAAATATTTGATACAAATAATATATTAAATTTTTAAATATTTATTGGTTTTATTTAAAAATATAATTTACTAGAGAATTTTAACAATTTCATCAATATTGCAGTAACTTAAATACTTATATATGATATTACAAGAAGATCTTCAAGATAATTATTTAAATTAATAATTATTTAATTTTTTTTATATATGTCAGTGTTAATGACATTAAATAATTTCAAAATATTTTTGTAAGTCTTAACATTATAATCTAGCAGTATAACTTTTAGATTACGTGCATCATTTTTGGCTGTGTCAGTAGCCAGTTGATAGTAGCGAGTGACCTCATATCGTTGGTCACCTGCTTCTTATACCGAAGCATTTTCTCTAGCCGGACCATTTTCGTCCATTAAGTCTTCAATATGAGCGTTTGTTTTGTTTTGACAGCTGCTATGTAGGCTGTTAGTATTGGAGAATTCAAAAAATTAAAAAAAAAAAAAATTAATTAAGCAAAACTTTTTAAAAAAAATTCATTTCTGAAGCAAAAAGAAACCTTTAAAGGCAATACGAAGACTTTATACTATACATTTTCAATACAGAATTTTTCAAAAGTGATTGACTAATTTAGATATGGTCGTAAGAACATCAAATATATAAAGTAATAACTTGGGATATCATGAATAAAATCTACTAGCATATAATCTAGTGATAGAATCTTTTCAAACAAAGGAATTCGTTCATATTTGAAAAACATTTAAAAATAAAAAAGTTGTTAGCTGGATGAGTTTCGAGGTTACCGAGAATGAATCAAAAATGTGCTTGTTTGTGACTGTGGACTGGTAACTAATGCTTACAAATATTTCAATGTACTTCAAAAAAGTTTTGAGTCTATATATAACTGTAGGTAAGATATATACTTTAAAAATGAGATAACAGTCGAAACAGTAAACTTATTCTCAAAAAGGCGACTATAGTTTCGTTAGAGACAAAGATTATGACATTGGTTCTTTGGCATAATTATGATTGAGTCAAAAAAGTAAAATAATAACTAGGCATTATTATAATACTTAGATTCTAAAGTTAAAAAAAAGTACTGCATTTGCATAAGAAAATAACTCTTTCTTTTCTTGTCAACACACCAGCGTCATTAATTGCAATTGCAAAATTAACCGAATGGTATTATGGGGTGTAAATACATCTATCGTATTTACCGAATTGTTTGAATTGCTATTCATATATTTCTAAAGTTTAAAGATTGCTTTATTAAAAAAAATTTGATCATTTTTGGATATAACCTCTGCTTTATTAAAAAATATACAATCATTTTTGGATATAATCTCTTCAACTAATGTATATTTTTAAGGCTTAGATAAATCTTATCATATATTATCAATATTCAATAATATTCAGATATAATTTGTGCGACTTATACTTACACAATTTTAAGGACTCAGAAAAAGAAGACTTGAGAAAAAAATTAAATACAAACCTTATGCTAATGTAAGCCAAAAATAAAATCTAACTTATCAATCACCCCTCGAATAATAAGTTTTCTGTAAATGTAAAGAAAACAGAAATTATAAAAATAACTTAAGTGAATTATAGTGGTTTTAAAATATTTTCCCAGAAGTAACTATATTGCTACCGCATTTCACTATATGTTTCCTTCGTTTTGATTACAGTTGTAATTCTTAATGAAAATTTCATTTATTTTAACATGTGATTAAATACGAAGGAAAAAAATACAATTCTTGATTTTACTTGGAATTTCTTATATTGCACGCATTTTCTCAATTTGCATGAGAAATCATTTAAGAAATGTCATGTTCCATGCTCGAATCCAGTAGAGCTATTATGTGCACCGGGTACGACTACGGGTATGAGAATATATATAGTATGTACATCATATTTACATATGTACATATATGTTGTGAATATACAAGTTGAAGTACGTTTATATGACATTAGAACATAATCAAGAATTCTTCATGTTTCATTTGTTACAAGGAAAATAAAAAGTCTAGAAAATAGCAATGTTGATTTAAAATTTTTTTTTTTTGTTCTTCACAGCACTTCGGCGATAAAAGAGGCAAACGTTTATTAAAAGATATAAAATGAATTTTATGTTTCGAAATACTTTACATAAGCCTCCTATGAAAGTTATGTACATTGGCGTATAATAGTTTTTGTTATTGAAATTCTATAAAACCAAGGGCGTAGGGCGTAATACAATTACATAATTTTAATTTTTACATTTAGTGCATCTCGGTATGAATATGTAATAAAAATTATTGTTGTCATTAAATATTTTTATCTTTCCAAAAACGTAATCATATCATCATAAAAACTGCATTTTCTGATAGTCCTTCGAAAATTAAAGACTGCCTCTTATAACATATGCATTTAATGGTTACTTCTAGGATTTAAATCATTTTTGGCTTATCCACAAAGATATGATTTCAACAACTTCCGTAAGAGTAGGGTCTATAGGTGTTTTACCACCGGTGTGATTAATCTTTCTTTATTGTGTGTGCTCTAAATGACAATGTATTAAATAATCGACAGGCAAAAACTGAAGCTGAAAAGTGAGTTAGTTTTGGAAGATAAACTTGAGAAAAAGCATTGTATAATAATCGACAGGACAGATGGAAGCTAACGAGTGATTTAGTTTTGGAAGACAATATGTACTTTTGGAAAAGCACCATTGCTTGACGAGTGAGTTAGCGTTGGAAGACAAACTTGAGAAGAAGCATTCTATAATAATCGACACGGAAAATAGAAGCTGATGAGTGATTTAGTTATAGAAGATACGACATACTTTTGGAAAAAGAAGCATTGATTGATAAATGAGTTAGCGTTGAAAGATAAACTTGAGAAGAAGCATTCTATGATAATCGACAGGGAACACTGAAACTGCCGAGTGAGTTTGTTTTGAAAGATAAGATAAGATTTTGGAAGATAAGCGTGAGAAAAATCGCCAAGGAAAAACTGAAGCTGATAAGTAAGTTAGTTTTGGAAGATAAACTTGAGAAGAAGCATTCGATAATAATCGACAGGGAAAACGAAAGCTGACGAGTGATTTAGTTATGGAAGATAAAATATGGAAGACATACTTTTGGAAAAAGAAGCATTGATTGACGAGTGAGTAAGCGTTGGAAGACAAACTTGAGAAGAAGTATTCTATAATAATCGACAGGGAAAACTGATGCTGACGAATGAGTGAATTTTGGAAGATAAACTTGAGAAGAAGCATTCTATAATAATTGACAGAGAAAACTGAAGCTGCTGAGTGAGTTGGTTTCAAAACATAAGATTAACTTTTGGAAGAAGAAGCATTGACTGACGAGTGAGTTAGTGTTGGAAGATAAGCGTCGGAAAAATCATTGCATAATAATCGACAAGGAAAAACTGAAGCTGATAAGTAAGTAAGTTTTGAAAGACACACTTAAGAAGAAGCATTCTATAATAATCGGCAGGGAAAACTAAAGCTAATAAGTGAGTTAGAGTTCAAAGATAAATTTGAAATGAAATATTCTATTATACCAGGACTGTAAACGACATTGCGATTCAATTCATGGCGTAACTTACCTAATATATCTTTTTAGACTCTTAGAGTATGTTTACTACGCCACTGTCTGAAAAAATTAGTAGTTTCACAGTAATGAAAACATTCATGAAAACGAATATGCGAGTAGATTTGTGCTTCAATTGCTGAAAAATTTCAATAGGTGAATGTACACTTTAATTGTCTTATTTTCGTTTTTTACTTACTGTAGTAATAAACTTGTGAGAATGTTTTCTTGTTTATATTTGTACATACTTTTCTCGAAAAGTTTAATAAGATACTCAAAGCATTCGTGTTCGTTAGATTTGCATAAAGAGGAAGTTGCCAGCATTTTTATTCCTTGCATTCGTGTGTACTTCTTTCCCAGGTGAAAACTCGTAAATTTTCCTTTTATTGTGTAATTCAGTAAGCAGTTACACATTTCGAGAAAAGAAATGCGGGAAATATGTAACAAGATTTCAGATGATTTTACATGACATTCAAAGCATTGTTGAGAGTTAAATTAAGTAGTAAAAACTGAGCTGTCAGTTACTCAAAAAAAGTCTTTACATTACCAAAGGAACAGTAACAAAAATTTACCAAAGTAAAAGTAAGTATAAAAAAAATTTACTCAATATAATTGTAATTTTATTACAAACAATAACTCTGTTACTTTACTTTTTTAAAATATTTAGAATGTAGATTATTTCATTAATTCAGGGAATTGATTTTTGATAATATAAGAACTATAAATCACGTACTAAGTGATACTTTTTATATTTAGACGATTTAGCCTTAAATTTCAATTTTTTTACTTTATTGACAATAAAAAATTATCCGCTTCATACGTGTAATAAAGGAATAGTTGTAACATAAAAATTTAGTCAACGACTATCGATTACTTACATTTTTAGCATAATAATCCTTGAAGGATCTTAATGTGTAGCACGATTCTCTCTCTCTCGAAAGCGCCTCGCACATAGCCTCACAATCTATTCAATTTTTTGTACTTTTTTTTAGAGTTGTTGACACCTATAGGTTGTATTCAAACCAATTTTATAGTAATTTTATAGCGATTTATAGCATCCATATAAATTAAAATCGTAGGAGTGCTTAAAAAGGGTTAAAAAAATGATAAAAAATGAAAGATTGGACAAGAATTAGAAATTTAGACATGAAAAGTATCAGTCATCTGGATTAACTAAAGTCACACATATTCAACCCTACAGTATCGGTCCACCCTATAAAAATTTTTGTTTGGGGTGCAATTTTCCATAAAAGGAGTGGAAACTACTCTTCATCTTATGTTTCAGTGCCAATCTCTTATTATTCTTCAAATAGAGAAGACGTATCTGTTCCTTTTGAATTTGTGTATATGCAAATTGCTTTGGGCTTTATACCAGCGTTAATGGTTATTTTGGTCTGGCGTATAAACAACGTTGGTATCTGTGGTTTTACAGCCGGTCATTATTTGTGCGTAAGTGGGCTTTAGAGTGATGGTGTAAGGCCACCACTCTAACCCAACCTACCATAAAATTTATAATTAAGACGAGCTACCGTTAATATTTGTATGGACTGGTTTCAATATGCGTGTAAAACTTTGTACTAGTGTTTAGTGTATTGAATTGGCTACAAGAGGGTTATTTGAGTCTCTCGGCAAGAGTATTATCTTTTAGATTGGCGCATTTTTTGCTGGATTTTTACCTATGTGAAGTTTATGTGAATTGCATTGAATAGTATTGAATTGGTATTTATCTTACGCAGCATCAAATAACTGAGCAATCTAGGGTTCTATGTGATATATACAGAAAACTAATCTGAAAGATGTTGAGAAAATGATTAACATATGATTTCGAATATTATAGCTAAGTCTAAAATATTTTGATATTATTTGACACATTGTGCTTAAGTATTATGTTGGTTAGTGTTACATGTTAATTTTAATTTTTAAAATATAAAATATTAATTAAAATATTAATTTTTAATATATACTATTATCGAATCTAATAAGCAAATTTTGTTTTGTATTTTGCATAGATTTTGTATAAAAAATGGCAATATTGCAGCACATTTATTTAGCTGGTAGCGTTAGCGTAAGACTACGAATAAACTGGCTTGAATCGGTTTAGATTCAGTTTCCTAAAGACTTGAATCTGTGAAAAAATCGGTTTTTATCAAATTTTTTGTCATTGAGGTTAAAAAGTTTCTATATATATATCTGATTGACAATATTTACTAAGAGTATGATAAGTAATTTGTATTCGTACACTTTATATATTCTAAGATAATTTATAAGCACAATGTATAAGGTTCTACCATTTTTTTGCTGTCTTGAAAAATTGCCTGTATATTTTTATATTGAGGTATAATTGAGTAATGTTATAGCCACGTGTAATATGTATTATATTGCTTTTCTTTATGTATATTAAGAATCGTTTGTGTATAGTATACACAATAGTAAGTGAGTTTTAATATAGTTTGTACCTACACAAATGATTCCTGGTATTTCTCTCATAAATCTTATAAGATCTAATGATTTTTTTCGCATTTTTAGAACTTATGAAATTCCAGCAAAATATATTGTTAAAACAAATATTTTTAGTTATTATGGCTGCCTATGAACCCACATTCAATTCAATATAAACCAAGTTAAAAGTTAAAAGTTTTTAGAAATTATTCATAACTCTCTTAATTCATGTTTGAAGTCGAGTTGTATATGTAAACGCGGTTGTCATGACACAAGTTGCCATTGACATAATTTCATTAAATCTACATATCACACTGAACGTTTCAGATGTTTCGTGCGATGTCTTATCCTTAGAGTATTTCAATACGCTAAAGCAATTACGGTGTCGAGCTAAAAGCCACAATGTTTTACGCATGATGTGTAAAAGTTATTATGTGCCTCAAAACTATGAAGTGAGACGAACCAACACAACAGATATTAGCATGAAAATGGCAACTAAGCAACTGGAACAACAACAACAACCACACCAACAACACCAACAGCAACAATATTAACCCCACTGCCGACAACTGAAATAGAAGAAACTCGGAATTGCGGAAAAAGGCGCCTAATTGGAGAAAAACTAGCAGACGACCTTTGAGATACATAACGTGTATAATTCAAAATGTATTCAGAAATAACTAAGGACGCTGCTACTCGATTAAAGCAAGGCAAAGAGAGAATATTTGAAAGCAGAAGCAGTGATGGAATAAAAAAATGGAAATTTTTGCTACATTTGTAAAATATAATACAAATTTTAATTAAAATTAAACAAGCCCAACACAAAAACAGCGCAGCGCAAGGACGAAACGCAAATGCAATATTAAACGGTGTCATCATTAACCTACTTTCGACTGTGACAAATAAAAGAGTTTCACATCCAAGCAAAAAAAAAAACGTGAGAAAAAAATAAATTAAAAAATATTATAAAAAAAGAGATTCAAATAAATATATGTAGATGCTTCACTCACTGTTGCATAAAAGAATTTTTGTAAATATATACAATATATGCAGGCACAAGAAGGACATACCTTCATGACATAAAGTGAGTGTACGTAAATATGCAAGTATTTTGTTGCATTTAAAAATAAAACATTATTCGTCGTTGCATGCCACCCACACGTTCAGTAACTCTGTACTTCTTTGCATTTGGAATAAAACACCGATGAATTATTTTACAAAATACTATATTTATTGTGAGTAACAAAGAAGAGGAAAAAAACTTATTAACAACTTTAACGGAATGGCCACGATAATTGGAATACAATACTTGGTGTCAATGGAGTTCGCGGATGTGCTGGAGACATTGGAGCCGCTTTTGGTGTCGATGTTGGATGTCATTGGTCATGTTGGTCATGTCCGTTTTTGTATGTGACAATACGATAATTACTTTAGTGTATTGTTCAGATGCACTTAACGTGCACGAACACAAAATAAAAGCTCTGCTAACATTTTTTAATGTCCTTGCATTTTTCGTTGCACTTAACAGCGCCGAGCATTAAACTTACTCTCATTTTCATTCCTGAAATTAGTGGATGAAGTTGCGAAAAGCGCAGCAACAGAAATTGAAAAATTTATTATTGAATATAAACTGAAAGATTAATGACACGCTTTAATGAATTGAAAATATTGGTCACGATTTTTTAATTAAAATTATTGGTCAGAACATATCAAAAACGTGAAAGTAATTTACGGTTTTAATAAGTAAGATAATTAATGAATAATTTTAAGCAAAGAATATAAATGATGACGTCGGAAAAGATTTATCCATACCGATCACAGGTTTAGCTTACGTTATATATTGTACTTTCTTTGTAACCACTCGTAACTCCCATTGTCGACCTTAATACGGGCTTTAGGTCGTTATATATAAGAACACAACCTAAAGTCCGGCAAGAATCATATATAAAAATAAACATTTAATTTGTCACATTCAATGTAGACCTTATCAAGCATTTATCAATATTCATTTTGTTGTCTGCGAAGTATACTCAATAAAGTACAATATAGTGGAACTATATAAGACTAGCGTTTAACCTTGTCTTCTATACATTTTTCGTAGCTTCATTTAGCTATGGTCTTTAACTTTTTCAACGAATTTTATAGTTAAAATCAACTCAAATTACCTTTTTTGAAATGTTAATTTTAGCTTCGGCTGGTAATTTTAGACCCGCTGGTCGAACTCATAAGTATCAATCATATTCTTTAAGATTTTTGTTAAAAACTTTTGTATAATGCTTACTTTATGATATGTGGTGGTGCAAGATCCATAAAATAGATTACATTAAATCTGGCTTCTTCTGGTCGATCTTTCAGCATAAACGCCTAACAATGACTCCCAAATAATATTTGCGATTACCATGATTGCAATCAGAAAAATTTAGTCTGACCACATACTAGTTAAATTGACCGGATCATAACATATTGCTAGAAAAATTTTAGCTGATGTGGTAAAGAAGAGATGAATACCAACATGTGGTATTGTTTAATCAACATTATACGTCGAGTAATAATATTTTGAAATGAGGTATTTTTAAAACCTCAAATCAGGCAAATTATGCTTCTGAGTATGTGATCAAAAAACTAACCATGATTTTCAATCGACTTTAATACGGGTTTTCGATTTTCATCTTGTTTGTAAGCTGCTAATTAGAAGTTTATTAGCACTTAATTCTAAACTTATTATTACAGTTTGATTATTATTGCATTTAATGAAGAGTTGATATCTGTTCGAGATTAATATTTTGCCGACCTTAACATAGTACATTATTTAAGGTGGTTTAAGAAGTTCCAGCATCGCGAAAAAAATTATATCAATTTGAGAAAAAGTTGTATTGAAAAATAAAGATAAAAAAAAACGTTTCATTGACATTACTTCTCTCTAGGGGCAAAAAGATAGAACAAAAGTCAAACAGTCATATATCTAATTCCTATGTCTATAATTATTGGTAGGAATTAACAGCACTAAGTTATCTGTGAAGATACGTGATTCCGGGGCATAGACAGAGCTACACTTGGGCCCAATACTCTTTGTCTATGTCAATCAGTCATATGTTTCATTTTTCTAGCCAGGG